CTTTAAGCACTGTCTCAGAAAGTGAAAAAGGCTGGAGATGTAGCTCAGTGAAAAGGCCCTGGCTTCACCCTCCAGTACCATACCAAAAATAAACAAATACATAAATTTAATTAAATGAAATAAAATATAAAAATAAGAGAAGACAAGAAAAGAAGATTGACTAAATATGTCCCCTAAGTCTCCACAGCCAACCCAGACAGAGCCCTTACCAGTGGTCAGTTCTAGAAAATTCAAAGGAACCAGAATCCTAAACACCAAAACTGTTTTAGCTGTTACCAGCAGAGGGTGTCCATACCTTTTTTCCATTTTAAAATTTGATATCACAAGTATTTACTACAAGACCAGGACTTTATTTATTTATTTATTTGGTACCAGGGATCCAACTCAGGTCCTTATGCTTCAGAGGCAGGCGGCAGAACCCCTGAGCTGAATCCCAGCCCTTTTTTTTTTTAACACTAGGATTTTAAACTGAGGCTTTTGCCATACATGAAACTCTTCTCTTTTATTTTGTGACTTTTATGTACACAACTTTTACATGCAGTACTGTAATGTATAACACAACAATGAAACTACAGTACTATACAGTACAATCAGCAAAAATTCCTTATAAACAAGGTGTACTCTACAAATAAAAGACATTGAGATTCTGTAAACAAGAAATACAGAACTGTAACAAAAAAAAAAAGAGGTTGTAAGTCCAAGTGGTGGGTCCTAAGTCCGAACATTCGTTAAACAGGTCATCGTTGTGGTTTGTGTCTAGATGTCCCCCCAAAGCCTCATGCAATCTTTTTTCGAAGGTAGCTAAATCTGGAATGTGTGATGCTAGGATTAAGGGTGTGTGATTACCAAACCACTATGCATGAGTGATTGATTTGACACTGCCCTAATCCAGGTAGTCTGAATAAAATAAAAGGAACAGAAAGATACTGTCAAGTTCCCTCGGTGCTTTTGCTACTTTCTGGCCTCTATGAATTGTTTATCTTCTGCGATGCCCCTCCCACCTCTCTTGCTGCTGTTTACTGCTTCTACCACCCTGAAGTGTTGCCCCTCTGTCACCCTCCCTTGGAGCCAGGAAACCAGGGACTGAAAGCTCTACGAACTGTAAGCCAAATGAACCTTTTCCCCTTCAACTTTGGGTATTGGGTATTTTGGGGTTTTTTTGTTTGTTTGTTTTTTGAGACAGGGCCTCACTATGTAGTTGAGACTGACCTGGAATTTACTATCTAGCCCAGGCTGGTCTCGAACTCACAGAGATCCTCCTGCCTCAGCCTCCTGAGTGCTGGGATTTACAGGCGTGCGCCACCACACCCGGCTGGTATTGGGTATTTTGTCTCAGCAACAAGAAAAAATAAGTAACACAGTCATTAAATGAAGAATATCTGTATTTACCTATTTTCAAGAATATTTTATTTTATTTTTAAGTACATATGTGCAGTGTGTGCATTTTATAATCATTTTGGGGACTTAATAACCTCAGTAAATATAAAAATTGTATGCCATAAACGTGAAATATTAACAATATCATGAACTATTAATATCAATGAAAATAACAATTGGGATAGGGGAGTTAGGTGTCTGTTTTTACTGTTGTTGTTTTTCGTGGTACTCGGGATTGAACTCAGGACCTCGCATTTGCCAGGCAGGAACAGCACTACTGAACTACATCCCCAGCTGCTTAGAGGACTTCATTTTTATGGCATGAGGGAAATGACACTGTTTTCTGGTTGATTCAGGTCTCTGAAGAAACCCTTTCCCATACAATGAAACCTCCCCTAACAGTAAGCTTTCTTTCATCTACTCTATAGTTATGGCTACATTGACAAATGGTGATACAATCTCACTCTAAGCATTAGTTTTCTATTGCTATTACAGGCAATTACCACTGATTTTATTTTTTTTATTTTATTTTTATTTTTGGTACTGGGATCAAACTCGGAACCTTGCACTTGTGAGGCAGGCAGCAGAACCACTGAGCTAAATCCTCAGCCCAATTGCCACAGATTTGGTGGCTTAAAGAACATAAAATTATTATTGCAGTTGTCCAACACAGATCTCACTGAGCTAATACTAAGGTGTCTGCAAGGCTGTGCTCCCTGCTGCAAGCTCTACAAGAGAGTCAATGTCCTTGCTTGGTCTAGCTTCCAGGGGTCACTTATATCTCTTCGTTCAGGCTTCCCTTCCTCCATCTTCCCAGCCAGCAATGGCTGGTGATTCCTCCTTACATCACCCTCACTTTCTACCATAAATTGTGTCCCTCTGACTCCCTGCATGGCCTTCCACTTTTAAGGACCTTGGGATCATATTGGGCCCACCTAGATAATCCAGGATAATCCTCCTATTTTAAAACCAGCTGATTAACAGCCTTGCTAACATCTGCTATTTTAATTCCCTATTTGCTACTGTAATATAATGTAGAAATCCCCAGGATCATGCCATGCACAATCTTTGGAAGGTATTATTCTGCCTATCATGCTCCCAGAGCCTTGCATTGTAGCTCTTCTCTCTATCTACCATCTCTTCCCTTCCCATTTTCTAGGAATCAGTGGCACACATTTTTACCGAGTTTGAAAATTGCTAGTTTTATCTCCTTTTCCATCTTGCATCGGATCCCTAGTTTAAAAGAAGTCTTATTAATGGGTAAAATAATAGGATGTCTGAGATTTGCCTTAAAATAATCTACTATGAGCTGAGGGTATAGCTTAGTGCTAGAGTGCTTAGCAAGTGCAAGGCCCCAGGTTCCATTCTCTGCACAGGACGGGGCAAAGGGAGGAAGGGGGAGAGGCATAGGAGAGGTGAGGAGATGAGGATAACTTGCAGAGCAAATAGATAAAATAACATGGCCAAAAGGGTAGCAATGTTTGAAGTTGTATGTTCAGTACACAAAGTATCATTCTTATACACTTCTATTTTCAAATCTTAATAAAAAAAAATTCAGAGTGTTCTTTTGGCTTTTTCCTCTTCCCTTTTCTCTGGTATTTGAGAGGAAAAAAAATTGATAGAAATAGTTGAAACTGCATACTAAAATACTGTTACTAAATAAACCAATTCAAAATGCTGTTAAATTTGTGTAGTGCTGGGTATTTAGCTCAGCAGTTCTGTTGCCTGCCTCACAAGCACAAGCACCTGAGTTCGATCCCCAGTACCAAAAAAAAAAAGAAGAAGAAGAGAGGTATATCCCTTAGTTGGTTTTCAAGAACGACAACTTCTTGCAACACTGTAGTACAATCAAAACCAGGATACTGAAATCAATACAGTCAAGAAAACATTTTCATCACAAAGGTCTTCATGTTGTCCTTTTACAGGCAAAATTTTCTGTCTGGATGTCCAATATTTACAATATATTCCAAATGAAGGTAGTTCATAACCTTTACCTGTCTTTTCGTTAGGCACTATTATTTTTTTTTCAGGACCTTGCACTTACCAGGCAGGCACAGCATTGCTGAGCTATATTCCTGGCCCTTCCTTAGGCACTACTAGCAGCTACTTTAAATTACCAACACCTATTTTTCAGATCTGTCATACATGCTGCCTGAATATAGTGTCTGATATAATTGTGTCCACTTTGGAACCATAGATAGATTAGCAACACATTAACTGCAAACAGTGACTGGGAATAATAGAGAGGTTTTCTGTAAATCAGGGCCCCAAGCAGCACAGGAGCACTGAAGGGCATGCAGTTACATACCCTAGATGGCTGCAAGTCTCAGTGATGTGACAAATACTTCTGGGGGCTGCCTTCTCCAACATGCATTGTCCTCCTTCCTCTCAGTTAAATGACCACTTAAAAGTTTATTTCTTGTCTTCTTTCATGGCTTTATGTGACTTCTTGTGGCAAATACAGTTGGCCAAGGAGATGTAAGTAAAAAGGTGGCCTACACAGCTGGGCATGGTGGCGCACACCTGTAATCCTAGCACTCAGGAGGCTGAGACAGGAGGATTGCTATGGGTTCGAGACCAGCCTGGGCTACATAGTGAGTTCCCGGTCAGTCTCCACTACATAGTGAGACCATGTCAAAAAAAAAAAAAAAAAAAAAAAAAAAATGGTGGCCTAGTACTTCTGCAAAATCTCTAAAAGAAAGCAGCAGGACTTACCTCACTCCTCTTCACTGCCTATGGCCAGACATTGGGGATCTGGCCAAAAAGCAAAATATGACTCCTTTCTGCGTGATACCATGCCTGACTCTAGACTTCTTTTACAGAGAAAGAGAAACTTCTACCTTTAAGCCATGATACTGTTTTGTTTTGTTTTTTTTTTTCTTGTCTAGGAGGACAATAGTCTACATTGACATAAGTAGTCTTTTGTTGCTTTTGTCCAAGAGCCCGCTCCTGCAACAAGGTTCAGGGGCCTGGGACTGGGAGAGCAAGGTGCAGAATCACCAAGCAGACCCCGGGGAGGTTCCTGGAACACTTCCACTTTATTCAGGAAATGCACAGACTTACATAGGGTAAGGCAAGGGTAGAGCTAGGGTGGAGTCGGGATATTTGGCACATCATTATTGGCCACATGTTAGTTTTTGGATTGTATGCTTTAGGGGCAGAGGTGAATGGAGTCAGGACTTTAGAGGTTTTTGAGAGGAACAGTTTATCTGTTGAAGGTCAGATCTCTACACACCTGAGGGGGCGGATTATTCCAGCCCTAATAGGCCTAGGGAGTTTTCTCACAAAAGATCGTGTGGCGCTCCTGACTCAGCCAGACATTAATCTGATCCTCAGTTCCCCCTTTTGTCTTTGACTCCAGAGCCTCAGCCAAAAGGACCACATTTTTATGATTGTTACTGGCACATCTGATCTTTAAAATAAAGAACAATAATAATATGCCAAACAAGGTTAATATATATGGGATCCCAATATCAATCCATGTATCCACCTACTCAAATTATTCCATCCAGCCTGAATTTTTGACCAAATGGTATCCCACGCATTATTTAAAGTTACAACATCTAACGCCTGGGTATTAATTCCTCCCAAACCAAGTTTAATTGGATTTGTAAATTGAGTACGGCTGTGCGGACATCTTGAACTAGCAGGGCGGTCTTTTTGAAGGCTTGGGTGGTGTTTTTTGTTAGCTGGTTGACTGTTGTCGCCACTTGATTTTGTGAGATGACCCTTGCGGTTGTGGCAGAAATAGCTGCCACCATGAAAATGATGACAGCAGTAAGGGCGGAAATTTCAAAGCCTTTCTCACTGCGGGGATGAAGCGTTAAGATTAAAGAGAGGATCTGAATTTTGTCATTCCGTATGGAGATCAACGGGGACCCAAATGACCGGGGGTGTTCTAGCAAAATATAAACTCCAAGTTTCTGTATGATTAAACAAAGAAGGATCAATACAAGGGGTAACACGAACATGAAAGGGGAAATCAGAACAAGATAGAGATGGGGGGTTAAATACTTGCCGATTTGTCCAGGAGGAAGTAGAGAACAAGGCTCTGCGTCAAGAAGGGTGTTCCTGGGCGCGCAGCAGCCCCCTGGGACCACTCGGTGCCAGCAGACACTGGACCGGGAGCAGCCAGCCCCCGCGGCCACATGTCGGGGACCTTGCAGCCCCCATCTAGCCGGCCTTGACCCCACACTCCCAGCCCTCTCGGTCCTGCTGGGTCCTAAGGCGCCATGGGGACTGTGGCCAGGAGCAGCCAGGGCAATGGGATCCGCGGTGGGAGGCAGGGACAGTGGAGGCCGGGGAAGACGAAAGGACCTTTGGCCACCGAGTAGCTATTGGACTCGGCTGCCGACCAGGCTTCCCTCCTGGCTCAGCAGGCCCTGGTGTCCCGAAGCTGCAGGTCTTTTGCTCTGAAACTTTTTTGAAGCTCTCAACTGTGCCGGGCCAGGCTTTGGAGGAGGAGGCTGGGAGGCCCGCATGCTGAGGACCCTGAAGCCACGCTAAGGCCTGATAAAGGATTTTTTTCTCCTCATCCGACAAATAAGGTGAAGATGCACAGGGTGGAGGCCACCATCTTGGACCGGAAAAGGTAGGCCTTCCCGATGACCATTATTCCAGTGAGGAGGGGGTTTGACAAAAGTGAGAGACCAGCAGGTGGGGCTGCTGCCTTTGCGAAAGAAGAAAGCGGAAGCGACAGCCCGCCCCGGCGATCTTTTCAAAGAGGCTTTTGTCCACCATCTTTAGAGGGCTTAGGGGGCCCTACACTCACCTGAGCTTGGGCTGGAAATGCGTCAGACGCCTTTATGGCATGAGGACCCTTTACTAAGGCGGCCTGTACCAGCCGTTATTGACTCATGACATTACCCATAATAGGGATCCTTACCCGAAAGTTCAATATTTACCCAGTATACGCCAGTCCCCTGTTTGGGCGCCAATTGTTTTCATCCGCGAGCCCCCTGTGAAACAAGGTTCAAAGGGCAAGGGCGGAATCACGAGGCAGACTCCAGGGAGGTTTCTGGAACACTTCCACTTCATTCAGGAAATGCACAGGCTTATATAGGGTAAGGCAAGGGTGCAGCCAGCGTGATGCTATTGGATCGCTATTGGATAGGGTAAGACAGGTTTGGAGCCAGGGTGGAGCCAGGATATTTGGCAAATCGTTGTTGGCCACATGTTTGTTTTTGGATTGTATGCTTTAGGGGCTGAGGTGAATGGAGTCAGGACTTTAGAGGTTTTTGAGACGAACAGTTTATCTGTTGAAGGTCAGATCTGTACACACCTGAGGGGATGGATTATTCCAGCCCTAATAGGCCTCTGAGTTTTCTCAGGAGAGAAGGGTGCAGCGCTCCTGACTCAGCCAGACATTAATCTGATCCTCAGTCTTTTTCAGTAGTCTTTATGTTCTTGAACCTCCAGAACCGTGAGCTAAACAAACATGTTTTTTCTAAGTATTTTGTTTTTTCTCAGGTATTTTGTTATAGAGACAAAGAGCTCATTAATACAATCGTTATGAAGAGAGAAAAGCAGCATCTAAGAGGGTAAGGGATGATTTGTAGGTGTGCAGTAGTTGAAAGCAAGTGGGCAAATGCAAAAATGAAGATGAGAACTTGTATGGCAAGGGATAAGAATGACATGCAAAACTGGGCACTGTGGCACATGCCTGTAGTCTTAGCACTCTGGGGAGGTTGAAGCAGAAGGATAACAAGTTGGACCCCAGCCTGGGCAACAGCGACTTGGCAAGATCTTGTCTCAAAATTAAAAATAAAATTAAAAAGAAAGAGTTTGGGGTGTAGCTCATGGGAAAAGTTCGGGGTTCAATCCTCACTATTGTTATGAAAAAAAAAAAGGAATGACTCCACAACTTGGAGAACTTGAAAATACTCTAATCACAACAATAAAATTAATGAATGAATTACATCTGCAAAAAATAAAAACTGTCCATGCAAAAAGAGCTGGATTGCACAGTTGGCTAACAATGAGTCCAAAGAGATTAAAAATTCAACAAGGTACCAAGTGGAGGTTCTAAACAAAAGCTGAGGTTCAGGATTTGGCCTCGCCTCTCTGCGTCCCATTAACTGGAAACACATTGAGTAACCGATTGACCATCTGCTTGGCAGTACTTACATGCGATGGCCAACAGAACCTCTAACTTTTCAAATCACTCAGGCTCCTTTTCAACTAAACACTCCTCAAGATGTCTTGAGGTTAAAACTTCAAATCCTATATAGCTTTCTGCCAGCACTATTAAGGGTCCTGAAAAAGAGGGGGTAGTCCAGATCAAAAGTATCAGAGACAGTAGAAAATCAAACTGCATCCAGGAGGCCAAGTGAAAACACCAAATCTAGATGGCTGTAAACAGAATCAGAATTTGGGGGAAGGGAGGGGGAAGTGGAAAGGGGAATGCTGAGGGAGGAAGCTACATTTTCTAAATTAGAGACAGAATAATAAAAGATCAAGTTGAAAAATGAACAAAAAGATTTTGGTACTTGTTCTAATCAAATAGGAAGGTCTATATTGTTGGCTAATAGGCAGTGAAGAAAGGAGTTGGCTTAGGGCAGAGAGATAGTTAGACAGGGACAGGGCTCTCTTCTCTTGGTTCTATTTATTTGCGTGGTAGTTATTTGCTCACTGGGGGCTAAATCCCTATTTTCATTCATGTCAGAAATATTTCACAATGTCTCATTGGTTTTAGTAGTAAATAACTTTATAAAATTTAATTTTCCTAACTTTTTTTTTTGCGGGGGGGCGTTTTTTGAGACAGGGTCTCACTGTATAGTTGAGGCTGACCTGGAACTCACTGTGTAGCCCAGGCTGGTCTCGAACTCACAGCAGATCCTCCTGCCTCAACCTCCCAGGTGCTGGGATTACAGGCGTGAGCCACCACGCCTGGCCTTTCCTAACTTTTAGTATGAAAAATTAATATAAATCAATGAAGAGACTCACTTTGGAAATAAATAATTATCATGGTTTAGATCTAATTGTCTCCCAAAAGTATTATGTTTAGAGGTAAAGCCCAGTTGGAGGGAGCAGGGCACTACAGGCCTAACCCTGAAGTGTATATTCTTGTCCCAGTCTCCCCCTTTTCTCTCTGCTTCATGGCTACCCTGGGATAAGCAGCAGCTTTCTCCCACCAGGTCAGCACCATGTGTTTCTATCTTGGAGAAAGCTGACTATGAACTGAATCCCCTGGAAACTGTGAACCAAATAAACTTCTTCTCTTTTAAGTTGTAGATGTTGGTTCTTTTGTCCCAGCAACACAAACATATTAACATAAGCAAGTTTTACACTTGACTAGTCCAAGTCATGATATTATCAATATGTAATAGATTATTAACTTCTAAACATTTATCCATGTATACAGTTATGCTCATGAGAGTGGGGCTTTGTCAACCATAAACTTGTAGATTCCAATCTTAGAGGTTATCTACCTCCTGCTTTTGAATATTAATTCTTCAGATATATTTGTTTGGGGAAGAATGGCAAATAATAATTAATAGGCAGTCTGCCAGGTTTCAGAAGAACAGGTGATCTGGCCTTATTTCCATACCTACATTAAAATCTGTTCATTTAATTTTCTATATAGAAGGCAATTTGAATTGCTAAGTTTGGATGATATAGCATGCATCTCTAATTTAGGTAAAACATCCATTCAGCCAGAGCCCTATAATTAGAAAGCAACCATAAAAGATACACAAAAACATATGCTGGTTCTCACAAATTTAAAATTTTGTTTCCAAAGCAGTAGTCCACTTTATATAGGTGTTATGTTTATAATGGATTACTGAGTTATTGCTCACTTCCCCATAGTTGCTTATGTCCCCAGTCTTGAATACATCCCATCTCGTTTTCCTCTTTTGTCCTCAACCCCTACTCCTAGAAATATTAACAACAGAATATATGTCTTTGGTAACATATAACATGGAGATTTTTCTCCTCATTGTTTTACAAAATAAAACATTTGCTAAATCAATAGCTGCATACCAGGTACCAGGATATTTGTTAATCTACTCAAGCAAGGAGCTGGTACAGGAGCTGCAATTGGAGTCACCACTTGAGTAAGACTACAGTAACCCACCATAATTTGCAAGATCCATTAATCTTCTGTACAGGTCAAAATGTCACTTAGTTAAGGAGCCAGGGATTTAGCCCAGTGTCACCACACCTGCCTTGCAAGTGCAATGTCCAGAGTTCGAGCCTTGGTACTGAAACAAAACAAAACAAGACGAAAAACAAAAAGACAGTTAAATGGGGATGTGGTAGGTACCACTACCCTTGCATCCTACAAGTCCTTGATGGTGATACTAATCTCTGTAATCCCATTAGGGATGAGATTTTTTTTTTAATTGGAGATTGAATCTAGGACGTTGCACTTGTAAGCCAGGTGCAGTGCAACTGAGCTAAACCCCCACCATTGGTATTGTTTGTTAGTTACTATTTCCCTAGGTAGAGACAACTCTAATGACTTCCATTTGGTCTTTCTCACTTTAATAGCCCTCACACCACAAGTTGGGGGGCAATATGAGGATTCTTCTGATATATTATATATTCTGTGCATTCTGGAACTAGAGAAATGATCACAGTATAGATTTTGGGAAACATGGGACCCACTGTGAGATGGACCTTGGCTAAAGCTTCATTGGTCACCTGATCTCTTTAACCCTCTACTGTTAGTGGAGGCCCACAGTGACTCTTTGGCTCTTTTGGAATCTGCATTAGTTCAGAACCAGTGTCCAGTACTCCCTGAAATGTCTGATCATTTTTTTTCCTCTAATGTAGGGGTTCCCTTGGGGAAGGATGGGAGAAAGACTTGTAGTATAAATTTTTGGTAGTGTACTAGGGTCCTTCCTCAAGGAGACCTGGCCTCCCCTTTGGTTCAAGTCTTGAAATTTTTCATGGGCTGTGATTCTCTGTTGCTATAGTTTTATGTATAATTTTGTTCATTTACCTAAATTTTCGCTGCTTATATAAATCTAATAGCTTTCCTATCTATTAAACTTCTGGGAACACCAAGATTAATTAGCCAGTGCCATAGGTCTACATGTGTCAGACCATTCTGATTGTTACTTTTCCTGTGTTGTTCCTTGTGTAAATATGCACACTTTGTCTTTCGTGGTTGAGTGCTGCTGCTTGGTTGTTGCCACTCCAGGA